GTATAGGGTTATAGTACCTACCATTACTTGTGGGTTGCAGGGTAATTCAAAGGAAGCGTTCATCGGTAGGCATTTCGGTGCAGGTAATGGAAACAGAAATTTGTTCTTCTACTGAGTGGTTCATATTGGTATGTTTTTATCGACTGCACTTTGTATCTATATCTATAGATCTATGTATTGTATGGGCGTTATTACGTGTACCGCAAATATAAGCGTGTGCTAAGGCTAAGTGGTGCAGGATCCGCAAGGTTGCTTCTGTATAATACGATTCGACTATTATAGCGCCGTGTAGCAGCCCAGTAATCAGAAGTGGTCCGTTTCCATTATGGAGGGCGCGCCTGGGAAGCGAGCTGAAAGAGAAGGAGGAGAGCTCGGCGTGAGCCGGGCGATCCGACTGTTGAAATAAAATTTGTAAATCACGATCACACTGACTACGGGGATGTAGATAGGAAGGGGCTTACTATGGTTCCTAGTGTGATCAGGGATATAAATAATGTGTGGCGCTTCACGCCGGATTGCTCAATTGCTTTACAAATATACCGTAAAGGCAAAAAAAAAAAAATGTCCCGAGGAGCAAGAGTTTAAGCTCATTGTGGGCACCTGCCTAGGCGTGTTTATTCTCGAAACAACATGTATGTCGACATTGTTGCTGAGCATTTTTCGACTTGAACTTTCAGCATTCTTCAGGTGCCATACGACAAAACCCTCGAGACCCTGGAAGGAATAGTTTTGGACTACATTAAAGAGCTATGCGAACGAGCAATGAATGTGAGACATTTCGCTTGAATGCAGTTTTCTTTCTTTTCTGTATTTTAATTCTATATTCGCGATATGCATACATGCGTTACTCACGGTTCAGGTTGGAAAACCGGACAAGATTGCGTTAGAGGATATCCATTACCTGATCAGACGAGACCCTAAGAAATTTGCTAGAGTTAAGGTAAGTATCTTATAGCAGCCCCTGCAAAACACTGCTCACACTGCTCTGGAATCTCGGTTTTCAGGATCTCTTATCGATGAGTGAAGAGCTCAAGAAAGCGCGTAAACAATTTGACGACGTGAAGCAGTTATGAACTGTAGGACCAGATCGAATTTGTAATAGGCGCTTTTGTTGTACATAGTTTGTCAACCACTACATGTTGTTCCATAAAACTTGTCTCCAGAAATATTTCCAGACGCTGCATAATGACTACACCATAGTGAAAACTAGTTCCGAATAAGGCCTCCATGGAGTCTCTACAGCCCATTTCCCTGTTTACGAAACAGGGCAGGGCAGTCCATCGTACCTCTACAATGAGTGCAATCTCTGAGAGTACGCTGTCCAGGCATTGTGACTGTCAAATGATTGAGGAATGAGCTAAATTAACTCTCGAGCAGAATCTGTGCAGATTTCTATGCCCCATAATTGCTTTGTAATCACTCTAGGTATGCAAAGATAAAAGATAGTGGCAGTGACAGTCCCAAGTGGAGAGCGCGGCTGAAAACTGAAGCGAACACGATCTAATTCAACAACGCACTGAGGGCTAATGCCGTTTGGACTCCAGAAATTTTGGCTGCCGGAAGCTTCAATTTAAAGTGGGCGAGATCGACCAGCTCCGCTAAAAAATTTGTACATAGAGGGGGGGGGGGGGGGGGGGGGGGGGGGGGGGGGGGGGGGGGGGTATTCAACATCCTGATCACGAATATGACATTCATTTTTGGCGCTGGCGCTAATGGATGACACTACGGTTACCTGCGCTCTGCTAAGGCTGAGCCCAGGAGGTAATCGTAGTGTCCTTCTTGGCGCAGCGCCAAGAATGAGTGTCATACTCGTAATCAGGATGTTGAATTACCCCTATATACAAGTTTTAGTGGATTTGGTGGCTTAGGCAATTTGAAAATGAGCTCGGAGCCGAAATTTCTGGAGTCCAAATTAGCCCGCACTGAGTTTATCTCGAGCGTGCGCTCCATTGCCGTGTTCGCAGATCTGCAGTCGCGACGGCGTCGCTTGGTCTAAACCGTCTCCCCTGATTCCACTCCTCTCGCGGCCTCGGCTGATTGCGACATTATCAACTAGAGTGATGGGAGTTTTAGGGAGGACCTGAGACCATGGAATGCATTTCACATTTCCGACTTTAACCTTGTAATACAAATCAGTTCTCATTTTATAACTCATTAAATGATTTTATTTCTATTCAAAGCAATATTCCATGTTTGTGTTGTTCGATTGTCACTTGATGTTGGTTAACCATGGCCACTTGGGGCAGCTTTACTGGTTCCATCGCAGGGTTTCCTTTAATTTTATCGGTTCTTCAATAACTCTGTAATGAAAGGATAGTGTCTTAATCATACAAAATCCGCTCAGATGACTGGAATAACTGGAGAACTAACTGCATTGAACGCACATTTCTTTTTTCTGATCGAATAGATCCATTAGATAGTCTTTGCATGATATAGCGGAATATGCAGTGACCATAATCCATGCGTGGGTGATGCCCAAAACCCAAGCAAAACTGGTCAGAAAAATATTGGCGGCTTAAATTGAAGGCTAACACGCCCCATCAATGTAGATGCGCCAGGGGCTGAAAAGATGCAAAATTGCCCCCCCCGAATTGGAGGGTATGTCCCCAGGCTAAGTAGTGGCGCCACCTAGACGAAGTTGGACCGGGCGTGGTCAGCGGCGCGTGGGTTTCGGCGCGGCGCCATTCCCTTTCCAACCTCTTACTGAATGCATCAAGCCGCAGCTATTGATGTAACTGACTGATCCCGCACCAAAGCCTGGGCCGCCGCCTGGCGCGCCCTACTGATTTCAGTGATAATGATTGTAGACATGGTTAATAACCACACAATGCAGTCGGAAAGTTCTTGAAAGGGCTGGCTTGAGTTCGCTTCTGCTGCTTTTGCTGCTACACTGAAGAAAACAAACAGTGGGCTCATTCCATCCTTCTTGAAACTTACCTGACCGGCTGCGACGTCGGCACAGCGCGTTTATTGTCTTAATGGAAAAGGGAGCATATGCTGTCGCTAGAGCTTCCTTCTCAAAAAATACAATGAGAGATCAAGGCAACTTTAGCCCTTGTCCCAAGTGGCGATGCTTTACTGAGGTTTGGAAACATTGCTAGTAATACTTCATGATAAACTTGACATACGGGACAAAAAATCGAAAGAATCCACAGACATATAATATTCATTTGGGTGTCTCTTGTGACTGTATTCTGAAAATAACATATCTCTCCCATAAACAAATCAGGTCCCAAACCCACCACACTGCAATTTAACTGCGGCAAGAACTCATATACTAGCGCCCGGATTCAGGTGTTGAACTTATGAAATGAGTCATATTGAAAAACAAAATATTCAGTTGGACAATCATCAGTGATAATCCCTCTGCTCAGCAATGAATCGAAATGAATGTTGTCATCTTTGGTAAACAGTGGAGGAGGAGAGGGGGGAGGGGGTGTCGGCTAGGAGGGGGGCAAGGATCTAGGCGACCACGGTGGTAGGGCCTCTGCCCTCACCTCAATTTCTGGCGCGCTTAGATGTGTAGGTGTCCTGGAGCTTTTCCTCCAAAGAGAGATGGACAGCTGTCCTGCCCCGAATACATAGGCTGGCAATAGTTCTTAGTCGCGCACAACACAGCTACATTTAACATTTTTTTTGTGCAGATATGCTCTTTTCTATAGTTCGATGTGCAAACCAAACAGCTGGAGTAGCTGGAACTCAAACAATGGAGTAGTTGCGAAATTGCTATTCTTCTGATCCTCTTCCTGCCTCCTGTAGTTTCCTCCTAACCCTCCTTTACCATTGTTTTAAAAACGAAGGGATACTCCGCAGGCAAGCAGGCGGGTGGGTGACAGGTCCTTACTTGGCGTGTGCTCCATGATTTTTTTTTGCTTTTCTTCCCCCTGGAGAATCAGTTAGCGACTACAGGATTTTGAACACCATGTGCATTATACAGTCGCGAGGTTTGTCTTTAAGGCATAATGGTACGAAGTTTGGGTAGAATAAGGGACAAAGGGGTAGATGAAAGCCAGAGAAGTGGTCTTCGCTGCTAGTAATCGTATTATGACGTTTTCAGTTCCATGTTGCGTTATCGTGGAAACTGCAGGCCGACCTTGTGATCGGTGATGCTATAACAAAGTCAATAGCTTGTGGGCGAAAAAGGAAGCTGGACAGGGGCAGTCGACGATAAGTGCTCTTATCAGTACTTCAACAACTTAACAGTTGGACTGCAGAGCATTGAATTCTTTAACAGTTCGAACACCCCTCAGTACATTATTTTCGATTTCCGCAAAAATACAAGCTCATGCATCGAGGATTTCCTTCCCGGTGACGAGGAAACCACGTTTGGCGCGCTCTTCAGATGAACCCAGCTTTATTTTCGCATAACTTTGAGAGGAGATTCCGAAAATATTGGGAGCTGCTAGATTTCGGTGCATGAAGATTTTGCTGCTGCAGCTCAATTACCTCTTGGGAACGGTTGCTGTGAAATGAGTAAAAAGTTTTCTTCAGGCCGCGAAAGTGAGTATTTTTACTTAATGCCTACTTCCAGAACCCGCGGCTCTACTGCGTCACGAATCCTACAGCCGCCCCCTGGCTATCCTTCCTCTCTGCGTCCCTCATGCCACTACACCCTCTTCTCAATTAATTGCCCACATTGGGACACATCTCCTTACCCGTGATTATGTTAACTGTGTAGGCAGAAAAGATTCAAAAACTTAGCCATTGGGTGCGTCTATGCACGCGATTACCCTCTATATTCTAAGAAACCACTTGACGTCCGAAACGAGCTCTTCTGTGTTGATGAACCACTTCTGTAGTTATGAGGTATTGTCGGTGACTTATTTCATTGAGATAGTTTTTCGGGGCCTGCAGTACGAAGCCCCCCCTCCTCCAGTTGAGGGTTCTTTCAATGGATGCTTGACCTCAGTGCCAGAGCTATATTTCGTGAGTACAGATGGTGATGAACAAGATTAGGCGTCCAGCCCCCTGCAGTTGCACTACGCAGTGAATGTCTACTCGAGCCCCGCTCTGCAAATGTTACATACAACAATTAGATTTGTTTATTCGGAAAACCAAATATACGACAAAGTATTCGAAAAGAATATGAGAAGAACAGAGGGCATGTCAACTTATCGTCAATATACTCAAACTGAGTAATCAAGAAGTAAGGTAAGTAATGGAACGTACATAGAATGCGCCGTCAACCAATGCATACAACAACAAGAGAGCATAAAAATGTTAGAAACAGAAAAAGTTCATGCAAAATACTGGCGACCTACTGAAGCATCGAAAAGGTAGGTAGTATTGGCTGGTGAACTACAAACAGCAAAGAAACATATGGATCAGAAGACTTGCATCACATCGGTAACTAGCGCAGTACTTCGAGTTAAGGCCCTAGCCAGCAGTAGTCCGTAAACCAATAAGAGCGTTACAGGAATTGTTTCTACAAATAATCTCGAATGGTTTTGAATGAGGGTGAATTGAGGGTAAAAGACATACCTTGAATGAGCAGAAAGCCAGTACTTAACGTCCTCGCTGATATTCATGATAACGATGATCGCCAGGACGACACAATAACACCCAAAAGGCGTGTATTATCCCCGGAACCCATATCAGGATGGTGAGCAGAACGTTGATCCAAAACTGGGTTGTACAGCCCTGATCGAACAGCACTGCTAACGGCTGCAATAATTGGATTACTAAAAAACGGAAAATTAGTTTCATAAAATCTATAATTCATTTCGCAGACTCCTAATATGACCGTTAGCCATAGCGGCAGTTTGCTCAAAGTATTCCTAACATTTATTCGATGATTACGCTGAAAGGACATTCATGTCATAGTGGGGGCGTACAGTGTGTCTTTCTATTGGTGCACCTCACCACGTCACTTCGCAGGAGCGAGGAAAAGGAGGGGGGGGGGTCGTATAAGTCTACCGAGTGGTCACGTCATCAGCATCGTGCACGCGGTGCATATCAATTCGACTAATCCGTCGTTCACTTCAACTGAATTTCCAAATAAAGCATTTCAACGCAGGTTGGTGAGCAAACTACTTCTGAATGTATGCTCAAACTATTGTGATCTTTAGAAGTC